TTCAATTTGAGACTTTTCAAATAGGCAAAAGCTTCTGTGAGACGGGTTGTGGTTAAGATGAAAAATGTAATACTTATATTGAAAAATGTAATACTAATTAGGAATAAAGTATTTATTCTTCCAAAAGGCTGAACCCTAACCCTAAAGGCACCCACACCCCGACCCGACAGAGCATTTAGGAGGATGTAAATCATGGTAACTCAACTAAATATGAACCACAGAGGCTAGACCGGTGCTCACCGCGCGGAATAAATTGTTTATTACTTATATGGAAAAGTGTAATACTTTTACATTTTTTTTTAGAAGTATTACATTTTTCTTCATAAATATTAAATTTTTTCATATAAGTAATAAACACTTGCCAACACAAGTTAACATATTATGTACTTTCAATTTATTTATGGGTATATAATCTGTTAACTGTAGACGCATAAGTTGAATTTCATTTTGGACTAGTGTTCATAATACAAGGTAGACATTATTGGTCCATGGTATAATTTCCCATGCAAATGTCAATTGTTACACCATGAACCATGGTCCATGAGAATCGTAGACCTTGATTAAAATGACATTCAAATTATATACATAGTTAAGATATTATGTATCTATAAATAAATTGATTTCTCATTTAGATAGGAAGGCTGATTACCTTGGGAAGCCATTTTCCATGCCTTTTCAACTCAAATTAAGTACAATTTGTAAATCAATTTATTTATCCATTTTGAATCTACGGTATATCGTTTTTTTTTTTTTCATCTCACTTAGACGAACTTGAACACATTTTGACTTGATCCAAACTAGAAATGTACCTCATAAATATTTGTACCACAAAGTGACTATTTAAAATGTCTATTTTGCTGAAATTTCTAGTAGAATATAATATATAAAATATAAATGTGATGTCTAACTATTGAAATGAAACACATCTTTTAATTTTGTAGTAGAGTTAAACCAATTCGAAAGGTTACTTGATGAAGAGGCTATATCAATGGTAATCAGTATCAACAAGCTAAAGAATATTGTTCGTAACTCGTAAGCTTTATGTTGTTTGGTAATGAGATCTAAGTATAAACGGATTCAAGAAGCCTTTAACACTTTTATCCAAGTTAATTGGAATTCAACACCTTTTTAGGTAGGAGTGGATCAGTTGGGAAAATCAATTTTATTCAATTAATTTTTAAATTATCTTTTTTTAAGAGAGCTACTAGTTTAAGAAGTGTGATTTATCTATGTAGTTCACGAATAATAATTGTTTATAAATTTTGATGATGCAAATTATATGTATTAAAGATAGTAGATCCTACAAATTTCTTTATTATAAATCACAAACTTGTTTCGCTCTCTACAGAAAGAAAGTTTGAGTTAATACATCTAGGGTCCTCCGAGTATAGTGATTTTGCCACGTTTAGACTTTCAAATTACCACCTATGGTCCTTCGACTTTCAAATTTTTACCATCCGTGGTCCAAGTTAACCACACAAGGTCCTTCAACTATCAAATTTTCACCACCCATGGTCCTTATAGGAGGACCGCGACTGGTTAAATTTTAAAAGTCGAAGGACCATAGGTGGTTAACTTGGACTACGGATGGTAACAATTTGAAAGTCGCAGGATCATAGGTGGTAATTTGAAAGTTTAGGACTAAACGTGGCAAAACCACTATACTCGGAGGACCCTAGATGGTATTAACTCATATTAGAAAAAGTATAACCAGAAGGTGTAATGGAATGAAGCATTTTCGGGAGAAGAATACTGAAAGGAATTGAAGTAAACTTTGAAGAAGTAAATCATAAAAAGCTTGACAGCATAGACTGTCATGTGATTATCTTCACTCAACACTCGTCAAGAGACCAACGAATATGACATGTTAAATTTTTAATTGCTCAAATGTTATAAAAATCATGACAATTCTACATAGATTAGACACAAACCATTTGAATAGGCTCAAGCATAATGAATTTTCATATTTTTATTGAATTGGGTAATGATGACCAAACAACACAACAAATTGAGAGGTTTGGGTTTGGATGGCTGGCAGAAGCAATGACAATATGGTTTTGAGCTTATGGTTTTGCATTTGCCTCCTTTGCCGCAATTACTTTGAAAGCAGCGTTGATTACAATCTCCGTCGTTACATGGTCCAATCGGATTGTCAAAGCAGCAATTGAGATCGCACTTTACTTCAACAATGTCTGATGAAAAAAAAAACAAAGAAAATGATACAAATTAAAACTGGTCATATTATTATCATAATTGATCAATTCGATATTTTTATATTGTTATTTTTACATTCTTTTTTAAAAATTATTTTTAAATATTTTGTTGCAAGTATAAAATGTATTTCGATTGATAAAGTTAAAAGGATAAATTAAAATAATAAGAAATAGTCCCCAAAAATAAATTGCATTATACACATTGATATACACATAAGAAAGAATCTTAACTATAATAAAGCTATATGGTTTGGGAAGTAATTAATGTTACAATTAGTGCCACAACA